TAAGGTAAGTCTAGCCGCCTTTCACTTAACAGAGGAAGCACAACTTTGGTTCTATTGGTTAGAGCAAGAAGAACCCGGGCTCGGTTGGCCCTAGTTTAAGTCCTATTGCCTTCTTAGGTTCGGATCCCCACTGACCAGCAATCCCCTAGATGAGCTGATTAACCTTAAATAGACCGGCACGGTGGCAGAATACCAGTGCCAGTTCCAAACCCTCCTTGCGAGGGCATCCTTAGTGCGACCGGACCAACAGGTGGACATGTTCACGGCAGGGTTAGCAGAACCCCTGCGGGTGGATGTCGAAATGCAGAATCCCCCAAATTTGGTTATAGCCATGAACTTAGAGCGCAAGCTGCAGCTCAGCTGTGGGACCTACAATATGGGTCGTCCACCGAACTCATGGGCACCCCCAAAATCAACGACAACGACCCCCTCTTCTGCAACCAGCCGGGAATTGAGATCTCACACAACCACCACCTCTAGATCGGTGACAAGTGCAGGTAGCAACATGGCCGCTCCACCCATTAAGCGTTTGACCTGGGCAGAAATGGCAGAACGCCGAGCGAGAGGCCAATGTTTCAACTGCGATGACCTTTACTCGGCAGGACATAGGTGCAAGAGGCTTTTTTGCCTCCTAGTTGATGAGCAAGAGGAGGATGAAGAAGAACCCGTCGTATTCGAGCCGGAGATCTCTCTCCATGCGATCACCAATATTAAAACCTCTCAGACCATGCAGTTACAGGCACATATAGCAGGTAACCCGGTGCACATTCTCGTCGATTCAGGGAGCACACACAACTTCATAAGTGAACATGCCGCCCTTCAGTTAAAACTACCAATGGAACTCCGGCCACGACTACAGGTAGCCGTCGCAAACGGTGAAAGAGTTCACAGTCCGGGAATTTGTAAGAACGTCCAAATACAGGTCAATTTTGAACTATTTTTTGCTGATTTATTTTTACTCTCCTTGGATGGGTTCGATATTGTTCTTGGGGTCAAATGGTTAATTACCCTAGGCCCGATTTTATGGGACTTCAGCGCACTCACAATGACATTCCACTTAAATGGGAAGCAAGTTTCGTGGCACGGTTGCAGGGTTAAAGAGAAGACACCACATGTCCATGCACTTCAGATAGAACCAGCGGCCATGGAAAGACTCCTCGCCGAGTTTTCAGATATATTCCTGGAACCCAAGGGACTCCCTCCTCCCCGAGCATGCGACCATCGAATTCCTTTGGTGGCGGGTTCAGAACCAGTCGTTGTTTGCCTTATCGCTACCCTCACCTACAGAAGGACGAGATAGAAAAACAATGTACAAAGATGCTGAAACAAGGGATCATACGCAAGAGTCACTGCCCTTTCTCTTCGCCGGTTCTGTTGGTGGCGAAACAAGATGGAACTTGGAGGTTCTGTGTTGACTACAGAGATTTCAACAGCCGGACGATCAAGGATAAGTTCCCTATTCCCGTTGTGGACGAACTGCCGAACGAGCTGCATGGTGCTCAGTACTTCTCTAAGTTGGACCTCGGGTCCGGGTATTTCCATGTTCGCATGGCTCCCGGTGACGTGAAGAAGACTACCTTTCGGACCCACCATGGCCATTTTGAATTTTTAGTCATGCCATTCGGTCTCTCCAACGCCCCATCCACATTCTAGTCATTGATGAATGAGGTATTTCAGCCCCATCTGCGCAAATTTGTTTTAGTATTCTTTGACGACATCCTCGTTTATAGCAAATCATGGGTAGAGCATGTGCACCATCTGCGAATTGTTTTCGAGCTTCTGCGCCTACACAAACTCTTCCTCAAACAGTCCAAGTGCTCCTTCGGGGAGCGACAAGTTCTTTATCTCGGCCACATCATCCACGGGCAAGGTGTGACGGTTGACAGTTCCAAAATTCAGGCTATCAAGGAATAGTCCAAGCCTCAATCAGCCAAGGCCTTACGCGGGTTCCTCGGATTAACGGGTTACTACCGCAAATTTTTACAGAATTATGGACTGTTGGCTGCCCCGTTAACCAATTTGTTAAAGAAAAATTCCTTCCGGTGGGACGACGTAGCCGATGCAGCTTTTCTGACACTGAGAAATGCTGTCTTCCACCCCAGTCCTGCAATTACCAAATTTCGCTCTCAAATTTACAGTCGAGTTCGATGCCTCTGGAATGGGTATCGGGGCCGTGTTACAGCAGCAAGGGCATCCGATTGCTTTCTTCAGCCTCAGACTAGTCGACCGGCATCTGAAGCTTCCAGCCTATGAGCGTGAACTAATCGGCATAGCCCGAGCCGTCCAACACTAGAGGCCGTATTTGTGGGGGCGGTCGTTCGTCGTCAAAACTGGTCATTACATCCTCAAATACCTGTTGGAGCAACGTCTCACCACTTCCCCTCAGCAGCATTGGGTTAGCAAACTGCTCGGGTTCGATTTGCGGGTGGAATACAAGGCGGGATCCTCAAATCGCGCAGCTGATGCCTTGTCTAGGCAAGATGAAGACGCGATGGCTCTGTGTGGAATTTCCCAACCCTGGATCTCTCTGTTAGACGACATCAAGAAGGCAACGCCACAGTCTCCGAAATGGTCACTCCTCGTCCAGAAGATCCAGTCCGGCGCTGCTGACTCCAATTGGTCGCTTCAGGACGGGTTGGTACTATATAAAGGCCGGGTACATCTTCCGCCAGACTCCCCGTTGATTTCCACCATCATCACCAACATCCATAACTCCACCCATGAAGGCGTTCAGAAAACGCTACACCGTGTCCAGGCTGATTTCCATTGGCGAGGTATGAAGACTTCTATTCGGGATTTTGTTCAGATTTGCTCCACGTGCCAACAACATAAATGGGAAAACCTACACCCGGCAGGCCTCCTTCAGCCCCTTTCGATCCTGACATAGATCTGGGCCGACATCTCCATGGACTTCATTGAGGGACTACCCAAGGTAGGCGGCAAATCGGTCCTCTATCACATCCGTACAGTGCCACTTCAGTTGCCCTCGCCTTCTTTACACATGTTTTTCGCTTACATGGGTTACCAAAATCCATCGTCAGCGATAGGGACCCGGTTTTCACTAGTGCCTTTTGGAAGGAGTTATTTCGGCTACATGGCACCACCCTGGCCTTCTCCTCAGCTTATCATCCATAGACCGACGGTCAAACGGAGGTGGTAAACCGCACGATCGAGATGTATCTCCGTTGCTTCGTAGGGGATCAACCGCGACGGTGGGTGGATTGGCTTCCTTGGGCCGAGTACTGTTACAACACGGCCTACCATTCTTCCCTCGGCATGACTCCCTTTCGCGTCGTTTATGGCCGGGACCCTCCTCGCTTGCTGTCCTATGAGCTCGGTTCTACTTGTTTGGAAGAAATTGATCACTCCTTACAAGAATGTGACGCCCTCCTAGCCGACGTCCACCTTCGCTTACAGCAGGCCCAGCTCCGCATGAAGCTCAACTATGACAAGCACCACCAGGAACTGTCGTTCGAACCAGGACAATTTGTTTGGTTAAAACTCCAGCCCTACCGGCAACACTCCTTGCGCCACAGGGCTGCCCCGAAACTGGCCCCTAAGTTCTATGGGCCCTTCAAGGTTCTACGGCGGATTGGCAGTGTGGCCTACCAGCTGGAATTGCCAGAGAACAGCTGGATTCATGATGTTTTCCACATTTCCTTGCTGAAACCATTTATGGGTGTTCCTCCGGACCAAGTCCCCTCCCTGCCAACCCTTGAGAGATGGCAAACTTGTTCCCCAGCCTAAGGCTCTCAACCGCTCTCGTCTCAATCGAGGAATTCTTGAAGTCTTGGTGGATCCCATTGGCAGAGTTCCAAGCCACGTATCCGGAGTTTGAGCTTGAGGACAAGCACTTAGTCCAGGAGGGGAGTAATGTTATGGATGCATTCCTCGGGAAGAAGTATCATCGCCGCCAGCAGCAGCAGGAACCTGACCCACCACCAGCAACAGTGATTCAATGATTCTCATCCTACCCAGTTTGGCAACAGCAGTCTCATCTAGATTAGATTAGATCATCTTGCTTGTTCTTATCTTATTCTATTGCTCTTATCTTATCTTATTAGTTGATTATCAGATTAGGATTAACTTATCTTATCTTTAGCAAGATAGAACTGGAAGTCTCTCTATTTAGCAAGGAGACTCCCTAAGATTAGGACTCTTGTAATCTCCTATTTAAGGAGACACCATTATTGAATGAGGATATCGAATATTCAGTTAAAGAAGTGAGTTAGGAGAGTTGGTGATCTCTTGAACAAATCACCAATGCGCCAAGATAGGTTCATCAAGAGCAGGAAGGAACAAGGGAAAACAGGAGGTTTTCCCCGTGGACTGACCCGTGGTGAGATCCTATTCTCGGGCCCTCAATATCCTTCCATACGAGGTTCTTGAGTTCCCACCTCAGTTATTTTTTCCTTTAGTTTGAGATCCTCAAAACATTCACTTATTAAACCCCATATCCTCTCAACTTCCTCTTCCACCCTTTTCCTTTCCTCTATATCCCTCCTTTCTAACATTCCTGTCCCACCTTCATCTTCCTTTCCCAATCCCTCGGGCTGGGTAGCTGGTGCATCTGTTTCAGGCAAAAAACACACATCAGTAACCAAAACTGAATGGACACACATACTTGGAACCAAGGGGGATGGGGCAGGAACTGAAGAAACAGGGTAATCCAACTCAGAGATCAAACCAGCAGGTTTGTTTCCTGAACCAGGCCTCTGTAAAGTGGGGCTGGGAAAACCTCCATCTCTGGTCGCATCACTATCCTTTTTCGGTATACCCTTCTGGTTTCTGCAATACTTTGGCTTTTAGAAATTATACGAGTTTTTGGGGAAATACTACAGTGTTCTTAACTAACATTAAAGAAAAAGAAAAGGATGAAAATGCAAGTGTAAAATTCTGGCATCTGATAATATAAGATTATTTTTGGAGTAACATATATACATTCTCATTCCTTTTCATCCTAGTTGACACCAGTAACCTTTTTACATGTTTAATTTCAGATTTTGGGTCCCCGGATTGGGTATTTGCCTCTGTTAGTTTCTATCATAAAGCCTCATTTCAGTAGCACGCTTCCTCCTGGGGTGGATACTGTTTGGTTTGAGTACAAAGGCTTGCCCTTGAAATGGTTTGCTATCCTTCCCTATGCCTATTCATCATTTTCTTCCTTTTTTTTTATCTTGAAAGAAGTCACCAAGCATCATTTTATGTATTAAAGCATCATATGTTGAAAAAGAGCATGATTGCGTGAAGATGTTGAATTGTTGATTCATTACAGTGAACTAAATTAGATTGTTTCCTAGATGCAGCAAGAACATGACTAGGTACAGTGTCGGATATGAAGCTTACACTAAAAATTGAAGTATCCAACATGATACAACACCCTTGTATAAGTTCTAGGTATCATAGGAACTTTGTAGGTAAAATATTTTTACCTGTATTGGTTGTAGTTAGGAGAAATGTATCATTTTGTTTTACAACATCGTTGGCTGCCTTTGTGTTATAACCTCTTCCATGGACCATGCTTGTGTTTTTTCTGGGCTGATTGGGTTGGGGGCTCTCTAAGGGCAGAGGTGATGGCAGTAGTGGGAGGTGGTAGAAGAGCAAAAGAGGTGAATATAGAGAAACTTATAATAGAGCGAGATTCAAAGATTGTAACAGGATGGTCGATGAAGAATGAAGAAGCTATGTGGGTGTGCAGAAATGAGATTAAAAGAAAAAAATAGATGATGAGAAGTATGACAGTGAATTGGGTTCAGAGCTCAGCTAACTCTATGGACGACACACTAGCCAAGCAAGGGTTGGTGAAGGATCATATGTTTTTGACAAAACTGTAATTGAAATGCAGAGGAGAGTTTTAGATCTCCTGATGATCATAGTGTGAATGCAATTATGTAAGTCTGTACGTCAAGTTCTCTTTAATGGAATTTCTGTTATTTATCAAAAAACAAATTTTGCATATGGATCTAAACCATTCACTATTAGAACATAGTTAACTTCAATATTCTTGTAGGGAAGGTAATGTATTAAGTTCTAAAGAACTATTCCAAAGCATCTACCCTTTAGTTTACTTTTGTTTTACTCTTTTAGCCTCATTAGCCAATTTCGTTTCATCAGAAAACAATATAGACCATGGGGTGTTCTCCTTATGCAAAAGGATACAGGTTTGGTGCTAATACTTGGTGTTTATATATTGGAATTGAAAATTCTCATACTCTCCCCTGGTCTTCCAATGCAATACTGGTGAACTACTTTCCCATTCAGTTTTTTTTTGGTAATAAATAAAAATGAAATTTCATTAAATGAAAAGGACAGATATAATCTAGGTTGGAACATCTAGAAGGAATTTTTCTAAAGTTCAGGTCTGGGTTTGGTTTAGGTATAATATTAGGGTGAACAGGGATAGATGATTGGTTATGTAAGGGTCCTAGATTAATTTTCAGAATGAACTGTAGAAATCTACATTTTTTTAGGGAAAATAAAGAAAATAAAAAAGGTGTCTAGAGGTGGAGCTTTCTAATGAAATTTGGTAGGGTTGTTTAGAATGAAAGGTTATATGAGGCGGCCAGGTATGATAAGGTTCTGGTAGGTTTCCCCACGAAAGGATGAAAAATTCTTTTAGTCAGGATGCCTATGATTTCTAGGATTTATGGTTTTAGTAGGAATTTTTAAGATCATTTTTTTGATGAATGAATTTTTAAGATCAATTTAAAATGGATGAATATGTGCTAAAACTAAAGGGGGTGGTTAGATTATAAATAACGACCTTAAATAATTCAATGATATCAATATCCATCTACAGCATTGGTAAGAAGAAGTGATCTGTATCTGTTACAAGGTAAAGGGACTAGAAGAACTAGGGACAGACTGTAATGGTTGTGGTAAAGAAATGATTTAAAAGCTAATAATTTAACATTGGATGTGGCACTAAACAGAATGGAATGTAGAAACAGGATTCATGTAGCCCAATCCCATATGGTTGAGACAATACTTAGATGAAGATATTACTCTAATGCATTTGTTATTTTCTACAAACGAAAACACATCTTTATTATTCTGTTTAATCTTCTTTGCCAATTTCTTGTGAAGATAACCTCTTTAGGCCCATCTGACCATCCCAATAATGGACTAGTAGAGATTGGCCCAGTACCATTCTTTCAAAGATTTGAAAGAGCTCCCTCCCCGTTTGTACCAATGTGGCCAACTAGCAGATTAGCGGAGATCTCACCGTACCACTTCAGCCCTGAAAATGTTCAGGCCCGTCTAGTAGACTGTGTATGCCCTTTTTTAGCAACACCTGCCGAAGTCTGTGCAATGCTGCCATTTAACAAAGCCTGTGCATTAGTTCTGTCACATGCCACAATAAAATTACAATTGAGCCCAGAACAAGTGATCCCTGTTCACCACTTCACCCCTTTCTTTGGTTTGGAAGGCAGCAACTCGTGCCTTGTGGGAGAACTCTGGATTGTATCCACTTGTCAGTTTATTTTCATCCTAATAAAATTCTTCATGATTCATCAAAAAAAGTTCTCACATGCCACTTCTTCTTTTCCTCCCATTTGTTCGATTCTAGCTTCTGAGTTCTTCCCCTTTAGGTATTCCTCCCTAAGACTTTCCTTTATCATGAAAATCTCACCAACATTTGAATGGGTTAATCTCTTAATTCCACCTAGCCACTCTTCTTCAACCTTCTCATCTACTTTTTTCCTTCCTTCACTCCAAAGATTAGCTTCAATGGTTGTTGCCAACCAAATAGGATGAAGACTCCATCTGCAAAGACCTCAATCTTTCGAGGGATGTCTTCTGGACTTACATTATTTAGACTAACTGCAGCTGAATGCAAATCTTTCACAAAGAATCCATCCAAACTAGCCTTACACAGAGAAGTAATGGAGCAAAAAACTTGTGATTTATAGAGATGAAATGGAAGACCCAAGATTCGGAGAAGAACTACATTCAGACTTTTGGAGTTAGACAGGGGATTCCACCTAAAAACAGTTAAAGGTTACTGCACCTTTGGCTGTTCCAAGTGGTTTGTTTGGCTGGCTGTTAAGGATAAGGTTCAGTCTGCTGAATACCTGTTGATAAGCGGAATGGAGCTGGATATCACTTGCAGTCTTTGTGGAGTAGCTTCTGAATCCATTCATCATCTCTTGACCCACTGCCCCTACCCCTACCAGGTCTGGTTCCATTTTTTCAGGCTGTTTCAAGTGGTTTGGGTCTCCCCCGCATCTGTGGCTGATCTAATCTCAGGTTAAAGGACATTTCTTGTGGAAGTGCCTGCCTTTTGCAATTTTCTGGGTGGTCTGGAAAGAGCGCAAGCTGCGCAACCAGAGGATTTTTGAGTCTAATTCCAATGCAGTGGAGGTGGTTCTAGGAAAAGTGGAAAGGCTGCTTGTGAGCTGTGCTTGAAGCTTTTTGTGGATGTGCCTGCTAATTCCTTTTCTGATCACTGGCGGTCCATCAGTTTTTGAGTTTTCTTTCTTTTGGTTCTTAGAGCTCTCTCTATACATGATCTGTGCATATCAAAGGCATTCTTCTTTTGTATATGATTGAGGGTTTCTTGCCGTCCTTTTCATTAATACAATACTTTCCTATTATCTATCAAAAAAAAAAAAAAAAAAAAACAGTTACAGCCCCAGCCTCTGTTTGAAAACATGCAGCATCAACCCCAACCTCATGTCCTACCACCTCCAAGAGAGCCTTACATTTCTCTAACGGGGTTAAGACAACGGCGGATTTCATTTTCAAACCTCAAACCATCTGCAACTGTCCTCCAATCTCTTGGTGGTTCTTTGGTGACCACTACTAAGTACTAATTTCTTATCCCAATTATCCTTGGCAGTGGTGATGGCTAGCCTATTGTCACTTTTTGCATGTCCTAGTTAGTAATGCTTCCACCTTCTTACTCTGCTGCTGTTCATCCTTTCCTGCAGATTATTTACTAGGCTTCTGATTTTCCTCTGTTGATTCCCTCCTAAGTTCTTGCAGTCCTTCCATTCCAGAGATTGACGCTTTTCAAAGCACCTGAGATCTCCTTTCACCCAGTCGCCAAGCTTTTCTTCTGGGAAGGAATTAATTTGCTTTTGTCTTCCTCCAAAATATTCAATGAACACAAGAAAACTCTGCCTGGCATTCCTTCTCCATCTTCAAAAGTCTTCTCCACGCGGTTGCTTGCATAAACTTGCCTTCCATCTCCCACTTTCGGACTTTGTATCTCTAGGCGAAGCTCAACTGTTGCTTCTATTCCTCTCTATATGTTCTTTATTATGCTCATGATTATAGTTTTAATGTGTGTACTTCAACTATTTATTTGTCCTCTTTGGGGTTCTCCCTTTATTCTAAAAAGATTGACATAAAGAAGCTATGATTTCTGAGAATAGGTACTGATTGCACATAATCCTTAGCAATTACAATGGAAATTCTTTGGTTGCACTTATATTAAGATGTGATATAATGTTGTTGAAAGCAGACACTTTTTGTCTGAATCAACTATGCTGTTTGCATTTCATTTTTTTTTCATCATGGAAACTGCAACAATTGAATCTTTTCACTTTAAGATATTTGCTATTGACATTGGCATTTATTAATTAGACCTTTGTGCATGGCTTGCAGGTATATACCAACAGGAGTTCTTTTTGATCTTCTATGTGTAGAACCAGAAAGGCCATGGAATCTTACGGTAGGATGTTCATCTTTGTTTGGTATTAGTTCCTAGTGGAACGATCCAATAACATTGCTATTTTTCTTAAAAGAATATGGAAATCTTAGGGTATGGACTTTGGATGCACTAGATGCCCACTTTTAACTTTTTGGTTCTAGCAGCTGATGTGCATTTCTTATGTGAGACCTATTATTTCTCCATGTTTTTTGATAAAAAATTATGATACCAATATCTTTAAGATTTCAGGAGAAAGATGGATAATGTCCTGATGTAGATACGAGTATAGAAGAGGGAAGGAGTGAGATATGACTGCACTTTTCTAATATCCCATACATGGATTAGGTTATCTATCCCCATCCAACATGTGAGTTAAATGTTTTTTGTTTTAGTCATGGGGTTGATTGGGATCTTGGTTTTAGGAGAGGAGATAGGGATTCGGAAGCTTTCCTTGTACTTGAATTGTTAAATCTTTTAGAGAGTGTATTCTTTGATTCTCAAGATTGGAGGTGCATATTAGGACTGCTAACCCTTATGGGACCTTTACTTTTGCCTTCTTTCTTGGTCTATTCTCTCCCTCTAATTCCATGCTACCTTCTTGAATTAGAGAGGTTTGGAGCAACTCCATGTCACATAAGATTAGGGCTTTTCTTGGGAGGTATATCATGAGAAAACTAAAACTTGATTTAAAAAAAGTGACCAGGATGGTGTCTTTCTCCTCATGTTTGTGTCTTGTGCCATGCTGGTGGAGGTTCTTTTTTCAATTTACTACCCTCCTATTCATTTGTCTCTTGTATTTGGGAGTGTTTTTTCTTGCTTTTTGGTTGCAGGTGGATGCCCCCTACTGATTTGGCTGAGCTATTTAACCTGATAATATTTCCTCAACTGAAGAGAAGAGCGAGGATTATGTAGAAATGCATAAGAGCAGCTATTGTATGGGGCAATTTGGGAAGAGAGAAATAAGAATCTTTAATGGGAAGAGTTATTCTAAGTAAATACTTTTTGAATGCATCAAACTTAAAGGGCTGCATTGGTTCAAATCATGAACACCTTTGCCTCTTTTTCAGTGGATGCCATTTTGTGAGGCTTGGGAGGGGTAGTTGGCTGCCTGGCTCATCATCCGGGGGGGAGGGGGGTTGCAAAGACAGTAGGAACAAATCTTGTAGAGGACTTATAAAACATACTTTGTTAGAATCAGCAGTGTCAACCCAGCTCCTACTGAAATGGGAGAGATTTTTAGAGATGTGAGTGGCTTAATTTTAGCCTTGTTTTGAGGCCCTATTGGAAGGGGGAACTTTTTAAAGGCTGAGCTGCTAGCTGTCTTACAATGCTTGAGACTGACTAAACAAATGAGCATGAAAAACACTGTAGTCAAAGAGGATTCTAAAGTGGTTGTTAGTTGGCTAAGGAACAAAAGCCAGGCAGTTTGTATAGATGAGTAATCAAGGAGATAGGTTGGCTGACAAGGGAATCGGTTGCAACCTTTCAATGAGTGCAAAGATCAGCAAATGCCATGGCTAAACGAGGGATAGATAGGGAGGATATGTTTTGGGCTCAAATGTAAACCACTATAAAGTTGGGATAGGTGGATCTTTCTGGTCTATGTGTTGGGGTTCAAGCTATGTAATTACTTTATTCTACTTAAGAAATTGCAATGAAAGTTACTGTTATCTATCAAAAAAATTTTTTTTTAGAGGCACTCTTGTCTTGATGCCAGGGAGAACTGAATGTTTGCATTATTTTCCTTGTCTTTATAGAATTTTCCAAGTGTGCTGCTGACATACTACTGTGGGAAACAAATAAAAAAAATGCTGCATTATAAAATGAGAAATTCTATATGCTAGGAAGAATCAAAATGGCACCTAGTGCTTATTCTATGGAGATGTGTGAGGGCTGCAGACCTTTGGGTAATTTGGGAAGAAAGAAATACAAGGATATTCAGCTAGAAGTCTCAGTCAAAGGAGGTATTAATGGAAAACATATCGATTCTTGTGGCTCATTGGGTGAAGACTTTGCCCCTGTTTGCCTATATTAATTGGATGGCATTATAAGAGGCTGGTACATATTATCAAACTCAGCAATCATAAAGAAGACACAGCTCGAATGTGGGAACCTCCTTCTCCACACCAATTTAAGCTGAACTTTATGGAAGTAGTACAGGCAGCAATACGAGGGTGGGCATTGGTGATGTAATGTGGGATGATGGGGGAAGGGTTGTGGTTTTATACTCTCAATAAGTTGATGAGATGCATTAAAAGCTGAGATGATGGTTCTCAATTTATACTAAGGTTAGCTGCATCTTTACACTTACCTAATATAATGGCAGAAGATGATTCAAGTGTAACAGTGGGGTGGCTAATAAGGAGTACAAAAAACTGGATGAGAGAATTGGGTGGCCAGATTAGATGGATATCAAAGGGAGGATAATAGTATGCCCTATACTTTGGCCAAACATGGAATTAGCATAAAGAATATGTATTGGGGAGTAACCATTGGAGAGCCAGTCAACATTAATTCATAGATGAAACATGTAATTGATTTTGGGTTACATGTTTTGTAATCCTTGTGCTGATCTCAGCTTGGCATGTACATTTGTAATTTTGCCTATATTTTTAATAAAGGTAACAGTTACAGTAAAAAATACCTCATAGTTATTTAAAAAAGGGTACCTGATGCTTGTATCCTTTACATATTTCTCCATACATATTTGTACCTGCATAGCCTAAAATCTGCTGTCAGCTTGGACTTTGTAGATAATATTATTATGAACTCTTATTTATTATAGAATATTGTTATTTGATGTATTTTGATCCATGATCATGAGAGTTTAACAGAAGTTTTAGTGCCAGCTGCCAGCTTGGTGCAACCCTCCTCTATCCAGGCTTGGGATATGTAGTGTAAGACAAGCTCACACTGGCGGAGTTGGGATAAGGCTTAGATGATGATGATGACAAATTGACAATTTTAATTTGTTGCATTTGTTGTTCATCTCATGACTTTATGTTGGAATATTACACTAGACCTTGGAAAACCTTCCCAAATTGAGCTACCATTTGCCTTTCCTTTTCTCTCAGGGCCATTTGCCAAGTCTTTTTGGGAAGATCTTCTAGTAGCTCTAATAGTCAAAAGACGCATTGTGCTTTGGAGCTTCCCAAAAATCGCCCGTTTTGGGCTTCTTGTGTCTTTTTGGCGCATCGACTTTTGACGGCTAGATCTATCGCGAACCAAATGGGAAAAGACCGAATTGCGGTTTACTGGGCTTGTAAATAGCCGATAGAACGCACGGAAAGACATGCCAAACGAGGCCTCAGTTTATTGATTTTTGGAAATAAAAGAAAATTTTTATTAAAATAAAAAGGACATTAAAAGGATGGTGAATGAAGTATTTGTTCACCATTTTTTTCTTTTGTCTTAGTTTATTGAACAAAGTGTTTGTTTTATGCTTTTCTTTTTTTAGTAAGTGGTTGGATACTGTATTAATATTAAATCATTGTAGAAGATTTATATGGTTAATGAGATAAAACCATAGTTGGTATCTCAGTTGGTAGGATTTCTGACTCATTGTAGCCGACCTGGGATTAAATCCCTCTAGCACCGGAGTTGGACGGTTAAGGTGATGGGGGATGGGCTACCCCATTGTGTAGCCCTATGAAGCAAAAGGGAGGGGGGGGGATGCACCTCATCCAGGTCCCAAGAGGAGTATTTTCAAAAGGTAGGGCTGGCAATCTTGACCCCAACTCATTTGACCCACCCAATCCACCCACCTTGGAACCTACCCATTCTATTGGCGGGTCAATATGGGTTGAGCGACCCATTAGGGCCAGTGGAAAAGGGTCAGGATGATTTGTATATGATATGTATCTTAGAATTTTTAACACTTTGAAATTAAAATAGTAAAATTGATATGATAATTAAAATATAATAGGTTCATATGTTTAGTGTCTTGGACTCTTGATTGATCCATTATAAATAAAATTATATGATATTTACACATCCCGGTATATTAATTGTAATATATTTCTTCATATATATCATTAAAATTTATATTTTCTATGTATTTATATACTATTTTGTGATTATTTTGATCTTAAATTTAGTGTTATTAATGTGTTTATAAAATTTGTATGTATTTCCCTAGCGTATCCATATGTTTCCATATTTTTTGTCCGTATCCATGCATTTTCAAAGCGTATCCATATCTGTATTATCCGATACGATACCCAATACTGATACTTTAATCCTTGGTTTCAATAATTCAGAAGTCTTTGTTCAAGTGAGGGTTTCTGAGTAAAGGTTGAGGCTTCCTCCTACCATTTTCTGCCATGCTTTTATGGTATGTTTTCACGTTTCCTGGTGTTTTCATGCATTTTCTACAATTGTTTTGGTGTTTTTGCATTTTTCTGATTTTTTTTTTTGCAAAAGTTATGCATTTGTTTTGCACATTCTGGATTTTTCTGCCATTTTCTGCATTTCTGTAATTTTTTTGGTATTTTCTGCATTTTTTGCAATTTTCTGGTATTTTTGCATTTGTTCTGATTTTTTCTGTAAAAGTTCTGTATTTTTTGCATTGTCTACAATTTTTTTGCTATTTTCTGGTAATTTTCTGTATTTTTCCGAAATTTCTGTAATATTTCTGCATTTTTTGTAAATTTGTTCTGTTATTTTCTGCATAATTTCTCCATTTTTGTAATTTTTGGTATTTTCTGTATTTTTTGTATTTTTCTGCATTTATCTACAATTTTTGAATTTTCGGTATATGGTTGACCTGGCCCGTTTCTGTCACGTGGCAGTCTTGAGAGAGATGATAATCTCAAAAATGTTTTTTCGGATATATGGGTCGACCCAACCCGTTTCTGACATGTGGCAGTTTTGAAAGAGATGATTCTCTAAAAAATGTTTCCCCTGGATATATGGGTCGACCCGACCCAATTCTATCACGTGGCAGCCTTGGGAAAGATGATCCTCTCAAGAATTGTTATTTTCGGGTATACGGGTTGCTCCAACCCATTTCTGCCACATAG